ATGCTCAAATAACCTCTAAAATTTTCAAAAGTGATCAAAAAATTATGCCATATAAAGTATTTTTACAATCGAATGAAATTTTAAGACTTTTGAATCTCTTGAAAATTGATGATTACTATTTGGAAGGCTTATGGGTGGGGTAATTGACAATTTAATTTTTTTCACTGGTGGTATACTCATGAAAAGCTCGATGAGGGTTGCAAGGATTTCTTTTGGGCTCACAAAAGAGATAAATTTTTAAAATACTTTTCTTGAAAGCGTGATATTTCAATATGAGTTAAAACTAGCAATTACTTTCTAAACAAGATTTGGGAAGAGGACAAGGCTGGTTTTTTCTTTTTAAAAAAGGTACTAGTATTTTAAAAGGCTTTGTATCGAGACTTTTTATTTTGGATAGAACCTTGGAACTCTGAAATTCATTTTTGGGGCCTTAAAAATGACTTTAGCTCTAAACTGCCCTTTTAGGGTTTTCATCTTAGAGCTATATTTCTTACCAATGAAGAATTCAACAAGTATATGCAAATTCAAGGATATTGCTCTTCAATCCAAGTACCACATTTGATCAAAATAAGCTTTTCAGGGTACGTAATGTAGGCCGAGGTTAAAGGTTCTGAAAGAATGGATAAATAGGTTCAAGATATATTATTCAGAGTAATTAAGCCAAGGATCCTGAGAAGTACTCTCTGACTTTCTTCCTTTTCTTTTTTTTGAAACATTTGGCTTTCATTTCAACAACTTTATTCACCCATTTTTTGTCCTGAATTCTCATTTTCAAGGTACATATTTTCTGTTTTTCTTTTTTCTTTCTTTTTTTTTTTTAATTCTGATTGAAGCTTTAGATTCTTATCTCTATAGTTTCTTTACTTTGCCTTAGAAAGGCCTAACTTCATCTTTGGCTATTCATTTTCATGAATCTTGAGATTCCAATTGAAGACTTATTCACTTTTTGTTTCAGACTTTTACCTTCGAGGGGCAGGTTAGATGCTTTTAATATCGGATACTTTTCTTGAAGTTAATCTTAAATGTATCCTAATTTTACCTCCTAATGTAGAAAATGATACTTGGCCAGGGTTTATTTTGGAACAAAAAATTTAATAAGCTCAAATGGGTAGTAAATGAATAATTTTTATGTACGAGAAGGGTAGAGAATGATGGCCATTCATCATTTCAAACATGATCACTTGGCTAGAATAGTAAATCATTGAAGATGACTTTTATTTATTTATTTTTCCTTTTTTTTTTTACTTTTATTTGTTTGTTTTTTTTTTTGTTTTTTTTGTGATGCCTCATCTTTTTTTTTACTCAATGTTCTAATGATGATCGAGTCGTATATGATTGACTACATAATTCAAAAGGCTCTTTGGGCTCAAAAAATTTTTTGGCATTTTTTGGTGAAAGAAAGAGAAAAGGTATGAAAGTATAAATCATCTTTGGCAGGAAAGGATTCTTTTTCTTTTTTTCAATGTGCTTTAAGATATGGAACAAAAGTTATATAAGAAAGAGAAGAAAAAAAATTCAAGTATTTTTATGTCTATGATCATGGTAAAATTTTGATACACATTAAATTACCAATTAAAAATTTGAAAGAGTATCTAATTTTTGAAATTCAAAACAAATTTTTAAAATTAATCTCTTTTGTTCTTTGCCCAAGAAGAGATTATTGGCCCTTTAAGGTATGAACTCAAACTCACATTCTTTGAAAGGTTATGGCTGATGAGTCAATCATTTGAGTGATTAGGGGCATGAAAGTATTTAAAAAGTTGTTGAGGTATTTGATGAGCTTTTTTCTAATAGTAATCACCATTTCCCTTAAGAATCCTTCCACCTTTATTGCAAAAAAAATATTTTTTTTCTTTTTTTCTTTTTTTTTTGTTTTTTTTTTTAAAGTTACTTATGTGGGACTTTTATTCAAACAAATGCATAAAGAGAAAATTTCATGAAAAAGATCCAAAGTATTCAATTTTTCCAAAATAAGTTAGATAACTTCTAGAGACATAATGCACATGTCATACATATATAGTAAAAAAATCAAAAAGAAATCATCCTATCTTGATTTTTAAAACTCGAAACATCCTCCTTCATCTCAACTTCTCACATTTGACAATTGAATGGAGCCAACAACTTTCATTGTTTTATTACCTCCGGAGTCAGAATACCATTCTTGATAAGATCTTTAACTTTTTTTTTCAACTTCCTTTAATTTTCAGTTGAGTGGCCAATTGCCCCCATATGGTAATCACACTTGTCATTGGGATTGTAACTTCTTGCTGATGGATTTAGTGTTATTTTTAGAGGTACAGGAGTGAGATATCGACCTTCTATTAATAAAGGCAAAAGGTAAAAAATAGGGATGGATAATTTCTCTTAATCATTTTTTAGTCTCTTTTGATTCTTTGTTGGCTGGGTGGTGGGTTCAAATGTAGGAATAAGATCATGAATGACCATTTGAGGATGGGAATTTTCTAGAAAGCTCAAATGCTGGCTTAGTTGGCAAAGATATGAGTTTTGAGAGATATAGTTTTATGGCAGGGTGATGACGTTGTACGGGATAAAGCTATTAGGTAGATGCCCTTCCATTGTGACTACTTGCACCTTTCTTTTATTCTGTTATGATGTAATTTTTTCTTCAACATTTGTCATATTTTTTAACTTAATCATGCCACTCTTGATTGCATTTTTTATAATTTTACCAGAAATTACCATGTTCGAAAAATTTTTGGAGATATTCTCAATCATTCTTTCATAACAGGGAGTGTTCAAGGAATTGATAAATAGAATAGTAATTTCTTTCTCAGACAAGGGTGGTTGTACTTGGGCTACTATGTCTCTCAATCTATATGCATATTCTTTAAAAGTTTCAGTTGATTTTTTCTTTATGTTTTGTAAGGACAACCTATCTGGCACTATATCTTCAACATGCTTGTATTGTGCTAGGAAGACCCTAGCTAAGTCATTCAAAGAGCAAATCTTACTATAGTCCAACTGAGCATACCATCTTGCTACAGGCCCAGTGAGACTATCTTGAAAGTAGTGGATCAACAACTTATCTTTATGAGTGTAACCTATCATTTTTCGACAGTACATGGTGATGTGTGTTAAAAGGCATTTTGTTTCATCATACTTATCAAAATTTGGGGCTTTAAATTTTGATCAAATAACAAGATCAAGCACTAGACTAAGCTTGTTGGCACCAACATTCTCGTACATATCATGGCTTTCAATTACTTTCAATCTCTCTTCTAACAAATCAAATTTATCTTTCATCACTGTATCTCTTGATGGATTTGGCACCCATTTTAATTTTTTTGATTCTTTAAGATCATCCACATTAGGCACAATAGTGGAGTCATGAAGAATACGCCTAAGGTTGACATTTGTCTAAACTGAGTGTAACTCAACAGAAATGTCAATAAAAGGTTGATGAGTAGTTAGAGGTACTTGTGGCATATGACGATCTTGAACATATGTGGACCTAAACGGATACAATGGTGTCTCAACAATTGTTTCCTCTTTGCCTCATGTGTTTCAATAACTCTTTTTCTTTTTGTTAACTTTGCTAACATCTGTTTTAATTCTATCAACTATTTGTTCATGTTTTATTACATTTTCGTAACTATTTCACTGATCTCTCATTGGGCCTTTTCTACTCTATCCATTCGACTAGCATTTTCATTTTTCATGATTCTAGTACTGACTCGAATGCTATAAGTGTGCAGACTCAACTGACCTCGTTTCCTAGAATAGCTATCCTTAAACTTTTTACTAATTACCAGAAGTCAGAAATGCATAGCAAGAATTCTATTATATAAAAAAAATTGCTTCGAAGGTTTGACGAAAGTATATTTACAATTATCATTTCTTGTCCTTAGTTGACATGAAAACAATGAATTCAAGCAAATGATGCATGATATGTAAGTCAAATTTTGTTATTATTAAAGAGAAAAAACTGGGGTTCCATCTTATATTCTGGTTGGATTATCTAAAGACATTCATTCCTCTTTGAAAGTTTGATGAAAATATATTCACAATCGTCACTCTTTTTCACTGGCTTCAATTATTAAAGGTGGATAGAAGCATCAATTCATAGAAAATCTAGGTTAAAAGAAGTTTTCATTCATTCCAAAAGTATCAAGTTTACACATCATAAACCATTATAGGGTTAGGGTCAAAAAGTGCCAGACCTGCTTCCACTTCCCTTTATGTCACCTAAAAAATAGTTGACTATGATTACTAGAAAGGACAATCTTTTGCTTTAAAAGCTTTTTATTCATCATGCTAGTCAATTTTACTGTTGCCTATAGCACTACCTACTATTTCAGCAAGGATGAAAGCTTCTCATGAATAATTGGATTCATTTTGCTATCAAAACTAAGATATCCAGCTTTCATCAATCCTTGCACCCTATGTTTCAAAGCTGTGCAATTTTCCAAAGAATGGCCAATGATGCCAAAATGGTATTCATATCGAGCATTGTGGTCATACCATTCAAAGAAAGGTGGTTTGTGAGGTTTAGCAGGGATAGGGGCAATGAGGTAGTTCCTTAGAAACAACGGGTATACCTCTGTGTAAGACATGTGTATTAGATCAATAGGGACTTTTCCTTTGGTGTCGCTAGAGTTTTTCTGCCCTATAGTTGGTTTGCTTTATTGAAAAGATAATGGTATGATTGGTCTTGAAGTGAATTGAAAAACTCTGGGTTGAAGATTGGATTGATGAAGTGGTGACAGGATAGCATGCTGAACAAGCAATTGTGAAATTGAGATGGTGGACATGGATTCAAGTGTGAAATTTTTAAAAGTCGCATGATATTTAGGGGCTAATCCTAGGTGCTTGGAAAGGAGGTTAGAAGTAGTCATAAGAAAGATTTGGGTGTGAGTTTGGACTCGAAAGAGTTGGTAATGGCTATTTGAAACCAGGCAATTCTAGTTTGGAAATCAAACTTTTGAGCTCAACCATCTAATTGGCTAGTTCACTCATTCCTCTATTGAGTTCGCCCAAACCTTGATCACTATTTAGGTCACCAAATGCTTTAGCATGCTTTGGAAGAGTGCTAGAACTAATAGGAGCCACTTGATCTTGATTTGATGGAATCAAAAGTGACAATGATCTTTGAAGAGGAACAGACTCAACTCTGGCACTACCTTTCACCATTTCTATCAATTGAGCCATTTGTCGTTTCATCTCTCGAAGCTCAAGCCATAATTCCTCTTGATCTAACTCCAAAGCACTAATTCTTGCTTCTAATTGATCTTCCATTTTTGTCATTCTAATTTCTACCAAGACAAACATTTTATTCTAGGATTACTACCCTTATTGAATGAATATCACAAAAACAATGACACACAAAGTATGTTTATGAACACATGAATATGATGGCTAAAGAATGTCATGAAATGCATGTATGCTTATGACAATGGATTTTTATTTGTACAAGGACCCAAATGAAAGTTTTCATCAATCATGAATGTGTATGCAAGGAATATAATGTTATATTGCAAGGATAGTGGGATATGAAATACAATGTATGTTTCATAAAATCCTACTATTCATGAATCCATATGCATGAAATGCAATAACATACTTATATGAATGATGAGATGTATTCCTATGACTAATGCAGCATACTTGTATGGAATGCATAAACCTATCAAGTGCATGTTATATTTTTACATGAAATGCAATGCTTATGTTATGCCAACCTAGTGAAACTAACGGTACCTTTAAACATGTAATGAGATGGAATGTGCGCACTACTTATTAAGATGCGTATGGTAAGCATGTATCATTTATCAACAAATGTATAACATGGGATGCATGCACTATCCATTGATATGGATAGGATGGAATGCTCACATTATCTTATTATGATGCGCATCCGATGAGACACATTAAAAATCAAATGAAAATGCAGAAATGAAACATCATTCAAAAAAAAAAAGAAAGAAAAAAAATCTTTTTTTTCTAAAAAGGAAAAACATTTTTTTCACATGGAATAACTTGGACTAAAAAAATTTAATTTTTATTTAGCCAATAAATAAAAAATTTAAGAAAGACCTTTAAAAAAAATTCACTTTTTGCTTGTTGGATATTGTTAAAAATAAAAAATATTTATGGAAATGCAAATTTTGGATAACTACTAAATGAATGAAATACACGTTAAAAGAAAATAAAATCTTTAAAAAAGTGCTTTTCTCTAATTTTTACAAAACGGTAATACTTTATCGAAGGCTGATCCCCTAAAGTTCACCATATGCTGAGTGAGGATTTGTTCATCTAAAGGTTTTCAAACTATTCCTCACATCATCATTCGTTATAGACTACTAAGGCTCCCCGATCTTCACCCATTACAGGCTACTAATGGAATAGTTCAATCTGAGTGGAAGTGTTTCACTAGCAAATGCGGAGGTTACCACGTCACGAGAGCGTAGCTAGTTCACTTCCTCCTAAAAGGAATAGAGCCTAGATCTAAAGCTCATGCATGTGAATAAATAGACAAAATGTGTGCAAAGTAATGTATTAATTAAAATAACATAAATAAATCATAAACATAGAATCAAAATAAAGTAATAACCATTATGCAATTTATTTTATTTATATATTTTTTATAAAAGATTAAAATAAAAGAAATTAAATTAAATATCAAATAAAACTAATTAAATCCAACCATTGTCAATAGCACATAATTAAAATTTGGCTTGGCTCTCAAGCATCCCCAGCGGAGTCACCAAGTTGTCATAACGATTTTGGGACCGCCAGACGTAAAAAGTTTTAAAATCAAGAGAAATAAAATGGGAGTCGTTACCAATCTTTTTTAGGGTGTGATTGGTCACCCAAAAGTTTATCTTTTTAATAAAACTATAAAAGCGAATTTAAAGTTTATCAAAAAGATATTTTGATCTACCAAAAATCAGGTTGGGTCCGAGAGTCGGTTACGTGTGGGGAAGGATTAGCACCCCCACAACGCCCATAAATTGGTACTATTTTATTACACGCTATTTTCGGTATTGGATAAAAATGGTTTCAATTTGAAATTTAACACTAATTTCCTTCATTTGAAAAAATAAAAATTTTGCTAAAATTCTTTATTTAGGAATATTGAGAAAATCTTAATGTTAAAGAATTATTTTAAAATTTTTCAATATCTAGGCAGAATTTGAAATAACTCTTTTTGCTCAAGATTTTACACGATAATCCTTAAACTGAAATAACAATCTTTATAGAAGATAATTATTAGTGACTCTCCAACGTCTAGGCAAAGTGCCAAGAATTATTTCCTTCAGAATATTATTTTTTATTTTATAATATCAAAATTTTAAAATATGGTTTTTTTTGTAAAAAAGTTCTATATGAAAAAATAAATAACAGTATTGTCAGGTAGCAAATAAATGTTAAAGACAGAAAGATACAATACGAATAACATGATGATGTATATATGTCAATAAATATTATGTAAGATGAAATGCAATTTTAGAGTTGGGTTCTTAAGTATAATGAGACCACCCTGACTCTCCAACATCTAGGCAGAGCTTAGGTGCTACTATTTATATTTAAGATCTCAATTTGCTAGTATACATTTTATTTATTAACCCTATTATTAAAGCGAATTAAGGACTCATTTGAAAAACTCAATGGAATAAAATTTTCTAAATACCCAATCATCTAGGCGACATTCGAAAATAAATTACTCGACTTGAGATTTTCACACGTATCCTTAGAGTTTCAGAATAAGTTTGAGTAAGGGCTTGGGTAGAGGTTTTAAAGGTTAGGGTTTCAAGATTTTAAAGATTTGGAAATACGTATCAAATTTGGGTCTTTACCTTTGGATTTCAGGGGTTTTTAGAAATTTGGATTTTTAGGCTTTGGATCTTAAGGTTTGGGATTTTTAATTTTAGGGTTTAGGGTTTGGGGTTTCAATTTCAGGGTTTAAGGTTTTAAAATTTAGTTTTAGGATATGGAAGGTTTAGGATTTTGGATTTTAGGGGTTTGGATTTAAGGGTTTGGATTTTAGAGTTTTGGATTTTAGAGACTTTGGATTTTAAGGTTTGGTTTTAATTTTAGGATTTTAAAACATGAATATCTCTAAAAATCTCCAATATCTAGGTAGACTTTCAGAGCAAATTCGATTTTTTAAAAAATAATTTAAAAGAACATATATTTTCTTTTTATAAAAAAAACTGTTCAAAAAAATTCTTTTTTATGAAAACTTATTATCAAAAATATTATTAACTTATTTAGTATTTTTTATAATAATAATTCTCCAACATCTAGGTGAAATTATTATTTTTTTAAATATGATTTAATTTCCTCCAACATCTAGGCAGGGAATATAAAAATATCATTCTATTATTATTTTAAGCATTTTTAGTATTTTTTCTTTTAGTTATTATTATTATTAAAAATATTCAATTATTTATTTTAACAAATTTTAAAAAAATTATCATGCATGAATATATAAAAAAAATACTCAAAATAACTAAAATAATAATATATAAAAAATAAAAAATTCAAAAAAAAAACTTGAATCGAACCAATCAATGGTTCGATTAACGTCGGTTCGGCTGGGTCGAAAACTGGGGTGGCTTGATAAATGGTTCGGTTTGGCAGCCTACGGTTTGGTCCGACTCAAAATCGGTTCAATTGGACCAGTCAGCAGCTGTGGAAAGAATGGGTTAACGGGTCGGGTTACGCAGATCCCGGGTCAGATCCGTGTCAATGCGCAGATCCTCTTCGACCTAAACGACATACTTTTGGGTGATAACTTTCTATATAAAACCAAATTTTTTTTGTTCAGCTCATTTTTCTTCTACTCCAGAAAAAAAAATTTTCAAAGCTTCTGGAAGAGCTTTTAGGTTTCGTCGGCATCCAGCATCGGACCGTCTCTCCAGTCGCTGTCTGGGTTACCACCGGTGGTCATTGTCGGTGGTTGAAAACACCAAAAAACTTATAAAAGCTTCTTTCGACGAGATCTTTTCAGATCCGATGTCCGTTTTACCAAAAACAGCCCCGATCGACGTAAATTGGGGCTTGAAGCTTTCGATTTTTTTTTTTTTTTTAGAAACTGACTTTTTGTTTTTGGTTTATTTTGCAAGGCTTGCTCAACGTTGATGGTTCCTCGCCGTAGGCGAGGACTGTGTTGTTTTTTTTGTCTTGTGTTTTGTTTTTTTTTTTTTTTTTTGTTCTGGGTATGGATTTGGGTTTTCTAAGAGAGTTGGGGTTTCTGGGTGTGTGGATTCTGGTAGTGGCCAAATGGGTGCTCGGTCTGAGAGCTTTCAGAGAGACTGAAAAGGAAGGAGATCTGGTGCTTTATAGGGCTGGGATGGTGGTAGCAGGTTAAGCGTGCGCCTAGCAAGGTATGGGTGATGGTTCTAGGCAGTCAAAGCCAGTGAGGTGCAGGGTATGTTAAAGGGACAGGTCAGAGATTGGTGGCCAGTGGTGCCATGCAAGGCACCACTGCCATCCCAATTTTTTTTTTTGGTTCTATTTTTATTTTTTATTGTTTTTTTAATTAATTATTATGTTTTATAATAGTATCAAAAATATTAGTAAACAAAAATTAATCTAGTAGACCCGGATAAAATTCGGTGTCTACAACCACCCAACTCTTTTTTGCCTTTGAATGCCCCTACCTCTCCACATTTGCCTCTTTTCTGGTCTAACATCTCTTAAACAACAGCAACCAAGCCTTAGTCCTCGTTTGGAATTAGACAATAGTTATGGATGTTTTTTCGAATAGCCTACTCTTAGTAAGAAAATTTTGCATCCTTTAGAGCATTCATCTGTTTTAACTCTTCTCCTTAAGCTTTAGAGTCTTTATCATCAATGTGTTGGCATAAGGCCACTTAATCTTAAAGTTAAACTACATACCAAGTGTCTTAGTGCAATCCATCACAAAAATTTGTCATACAAGGAAAAACTATTAGAGGGTAGATCCACTACATATAATCACCTATATTCTTGAAAGTAATACAACCACTCGTTAATCTCCCTTAGCATGTATAGCTCTAAAATTACGTTCACTGAGGGAAACCACTTCTTTAAGTAGTAAATGAAGTAAGCCACTATGATTGCCCATGTATTCGATACTATATGCAAGGTTGTCAGGTTAAAGATGGCTAGTACAGGTAGAAAAAAGGGTGCATTGCCAAATGGAACCTTTGGCGAAAGTTATG